TTAAAGTCTATGGCTATCATCTGGACTTTACTTCTCCTTTGTCTATAAAGCCTGTAACTGCTATAGAAAGAAATTAGATATACTTGACATGATTTTTCTTAACAAAAACATGCTAAACTTTGTCTGCTGTTCCACCTTTTTCTAGAAATGTGATGCCTCAAAATGAATCCAGTTTTCCACCTGAGGCTGAACCAATACTGAAGATGATTTTATCTTGCAGTCTTTCATGCTGGGGTGTATAAATAAGAGTACATATTATATTTTCACACCAGTGTAATAACTTCGACTCAAGGTCATCTTAAGACCCACTATTGCTTCCAGTACTTTTTCTAAAGAGTTGCTACCTATGCAATTGTATTCTCTATCCCTTTTGCTTATGTTTTGTAGCTATGAGATCTTTTCATTATTGAACTGCAACCTGTTTTAGCAGATCACACCTTCCATTTGTCAAGATAAAAATGTAAATATTACAGGGCTCAGGGCAGAGCCTGCTATTCTAAAAGTCAGTTACTGCTACTCAGTATTTTTAACCATTTTCTACTAGCTCCTTAAACTTCTTTCCTATATTGCTTACATGAAGTTGTCATGTGAGATAGCAGCAAAAAATCTACTACAGTCAAATTATAGTGTGCTTCTTTTAGGTCCATATGATGTGGATTAAATGTTCATTACTTAATACATCACTATGAAACCTGAATTATAGCTTAATCTGGTACTTATTCACTTCAAATTTTGTCTTAATTTTTTTTAAACCCTAGTTTAAAAACCTCTGAAACAATAGGAGTAAACACTTAACATGCAATCAGCTTGGGGATGGAAATGCAAACACATGTATGTATTTTAATATTTTTGGAGGGGATGGAGAAAATTCTTAATTCTGAAATGCTGGAGCTAACTGCCAGGACTTGAAATATCTGAGAAAGAAACTTTGACAGTAACTACTCTGTACATGTAAGCAAAGAAAGAGACATAAGTTAAACTAATCTTGACATTTACTGCTTTGCATGACCTTGAGTATCGCAACACAAGAAGTCTGTATTGGTTTGCAGAAAAACCAAAAAGCCAGCTGTGCATTGATTAGAAGAGAGATTTGGTGGGGAAATAATTTTTTAGGTTGGAATGTTTATGGAATTCAAAAAGCTCTGAAAGAATCAGTGTAGAAAAAACAACAAGCCACAAAAAAAGAAAGCAGTCCTTAAAAATAGCTCTGAAAGGAATTTTCCTCAGTAAATCAAAGTGCATTAGGGAAAGAATAAGAAGTTTTTCAGATCACCAGAAAATACAGACAAAACAAACACTGCTAGAACTGGAAAAAAAACCCAAGACACTGAGTAGATGGGGCTTATGGTCATATTTACAAAAGGCACATTTAATTGTTTAGGAAAGTAGATTGTCTTAGATCTAACAGATTGAGTTTTTAGTTGGTAGTATAACATATGGTTTAAGTTGACTCCATGTCAACACGATTTGTTCCAGGTACTTAGAGTCACTGTGCCTGGTGATCACTAGTAGCAAGGATGCCATTGTCCCCAAAGCGGGGCAGACTTTAAAGGCATGCACAGCTCTTCCTAAGCTCTGCTACTTAATTTGCTGCTCTGTTTCTAAATCTTTCATTTGAGAGTATTACACTTCTTGGATTTGTTTTCAGAAACAATAGAAGAGTCATTGTGTCTGCATGTGCTGGCATGTTGCGTGGACTAAAGCAATATGGTTTCATATTCAGCTTGTCAGCATTGTATACCATAGTTGCTGCTATTGGCTTTAAAGAAGGGGAGGATTTTTTCCCCCATATATATTAGTTAGTTTCTCTGGGGAATGGAGTAGTCAAAAAAAAAAAATTTTTAGGCTGAACGCTGTACAACTGAGAAAAGAACAAAACCCCCTGCTAGGTCTGTATGCTATTCCTCTTCCCATCTTCCCCTCAGATTCTGTCACTAGACAAGCAGAAACCTTTGCTTCCAGAAAACTTCAATGCAAAATGAAAGCGCAAAGCCCTTTTTCCATCCTGGTCCAGATACTGCAGTGTAGAAGGTCTGGGAAGTCATTTACAATGAAAAAAGAACAATGATCCCATACAAAGTTAATGACCTTGTACCTAGTCAGAGAAATGGGCTTGGCAAATTCCAGGGAAATATCTGACTGAAACCTTTGCATACCTGGTCAAAGCTAGATGTTATTTGCACACTGGAAACACGCAGTTATACACGAACAAAGAGGAAATAATCTGACAATATTGTTAAGTGTCCTGCAAATGGGGTAAAATCCAGGTAAGCCAAAGATTGTTTTTAAAGTGCTGCTCCTGATCTTACCAGGTTAAAAGGAAGTGGATGGGGTTGGAAAGGAGATATGTAGATCCAGGAAGGAAATTTTCAAACCAGTAGCTTCAAACTTGATTAATCTGCAGTGCAGAAATGTTTTGTGGGCAAACTGGGAAGGGGGAGCCATTATCATGAACAATGCCCTTTCTCACATCTGTCAACTGCCAGCATCAAATTCTGGTATTGCTATGGATGCTGCAAAAGCCAATAGTCTAATACTTAAGGATGCAAGGAACTCTTAAAAGGATAAAACAACTTTGCCTTTCTGATTTCAGTCCAACTGCCTGAGGGGCAGGAGGAGGGACGAAAGACATGTGAAGTCCCTGAAAACCTTTAGGGATGACACTACACCATCTAAGCAAGGGATTAGCTGTGAAAAGCCATCCTTTCTTCTGGAGAACACATTTTCCTCCTAAGCTGCTGGATACTTCAGTGGCTGGCATGTTTACTTCTGGAATCTTGAAGACCATTTTTGTCCAAAATCTTTGTTTCTTAGAATGTGACATGTTGACTTATTAAGTATGACCCTTAATTAACTGTTCCTCGGGTGGAGGGAGTATCATACCGTGCTTCTGGTATGATGTTGCAACAAGTATTGTAACTCCAGACAAGCAACTACTGTAATTATTTTGTTTGTCACCACATGTGGATTCCTGCCATGGAATTTCATTTGGGACACAGCAGCTTCCGTGACTACATAAAAGCTTTCTTCTGAAAATACCTCTTTCTCTTTCCAAGGAAGTTATGTAAATAGCTCCTGACACCATTGGGCTTCAAATCTGAAGGCTGCTGGATGCCCTTGTGTTTCTCCTTAGTGTTCCATGTAGTTCTAAACAAGCAGCTACGGAGCAACACAGAAACAGTGGGTCAGCACGTTCAGTTTCTCTGTGCTAGACTGCAAATGAATTATAGCTCAATGTTTGCTCTTTGAGGAGGGGTGAGATTTTTTTCAACTGCTTGGCATTATGCAGGCTGTGAATATGCCCTAGGATAGGCCATAGAAAGCTCCATATTAACCTAAACATAACTAACTCAATGTATGACCAAGCAATTAAGAAAGTAAAAAGCAGAACTACAGGAAAGCAAGATGTATGAAGAGCATCCTCTGTTAAGTCAGTTTGAAGTAGTTTGCAAAATAACATGTATAGGACCTACTACATAAATACTAAGGGTACCTTTATTTAAGAAGTAAAATAATGAAAGAAGGAATTAAGAATATCTAACTTACAAGAATTAGCATTTCTCTGTGTTAAGCTTATGACGGTTCACATTGTATATTATGCCTCAATTTTATTTGTTACTTGTGTTCATTATTATTTATCTACTGTGTATTTGGTTAAGGTTGCCACCAAAATGTGGTTTTTATTTAATGCATTACTTCAGAATAAATTGTTTTACTTGAAGTATATTCCTCAGATTTTTTTGATCCCCAACAATTCATCCAACTGGTTCAGCTGAAATGAATGCTAAAACTATCAAAGCATTTTTCTCAAAAGAAAAATGGAACCCAGCTGTCCCCGTGTATTTCTTTCCATATTTTTTGCTATTTTGTAAATAGCAACTGAAGTATGCACAGTGAGTTAATGCAAAACAAAAGTGATAAGGTTACCTTAATAACACTAGGAAACAAAACATTACAATTGTGTACATGAAATAATTAAAACTGTAATGAAGCAGAGAAAGCAGAAACCCTGCAAATTATAGTAGCAACTGGGAAAGAATGATGCAAAGTTACCTCTAAGACTTTTCCAAAAGCCCTATGCTGGCACGGTACAAACAACTTTTAGCTTAAAGGGGGAATCAAAGACCCGACCCAAACCAAACACTCCCTGAAAAAAAGAAAACAACCTCTATGTTTGAGGCTTGTTCAGTGACTGGTGCCATGTTTGAAAGTCCTTTATTCTACCTTTAAACCTCCTAGTTGTGTTAATTGGAATGTATTTTATGTATCTCAAACAGTGAATATGCTCATGTACATGCCAGTGTGCTTTTATGATTAGAATCAAGTGCATTATATGCAGTAGAACTGAAAACATCATTCTTGTCCACTTTCACATTTCCTTACAAACTCAGTGTTCCCTTAGGAAGAAGAAAGGACTCACTGAGATTTCGCACATCTGGGTGGTTGTAAGAATTCACAATGAAAACAGTAATATTTTTCACTCTTTCCGTATAACTTCATACTGTCATTTCAACAGTGTTTTTTTAATACTCTGGATTTATTCCAGTTTGCAACACAAGGTAAAACCTGTGTGTTTTCATATTCAGAATCTGCTCCACACTGGATCCTCTTTACAGTCCATTTTCCAGTACTCTGGCTAAAAAGAAAATGGGTATCTGAAATCTTGCAGGACCCTCTTGAGTATGTCTATTCTTAATTATAGGAACTAATAACTTTATCTTGTGTACATATCAAAGCTACTTTCCTCCTATTTTTGGAACAACATCTACTGCTGTTTAGTCTGGCTGTGGTAGATCAACTCCTTTGGATAATGACAGTGTTGTCATTAATCTGGGATAAGGACTTTCAGACCAAGTCCTTTGTGTTTTCTCTGGGTGACTGTGGTTTCTGCATGTGACCTTTTGTCCGAGTTGTGCACACAACCCAGCTTCTCAGACATTGTTTTAGAGCACGAGTGCCACCCATCAGTTCAGTTAAGCCACCTAGACAGCATTTTGGCAATGAAGTCGGTTGTTTCTGTGAGCGCAAACATTCCTGGATTGATTGTCACCCTCCCCTCAATTGCACCCGTTCTAGCGCAAGTGCCAAGAAAAGAATACTTGAAAACAGAGCAAAGAAAATTATCTGGGCAGGTGTTTCTGTTGCTTAGGAGTGGGGAACTTGAAGAAAGCAAGCCAGTAAGTGTCGGGAAGGATGGTGATTTAACTGGGCACGATAGATACTACCTGCTGAAATATTTAGTGCAAAGATACCTTTTGTTTGGCAGCGACCTTCTGAGAAGAAATTGATGGGTCAATGTGGACCATGATACAGAGACTAAAAACCTGCAGATAAGAGTGCTTTTGGAAGGTGCACGCCAAGGCATACTTTTCAGTCTCTGGGAAAATGGGCTGGAAATGGGCTGACAAAAGTTTTTCCCATACTTTGTTCAACAGAGCCTCTACTAAGAAAGAAGCTGTTCACCTGTCCTGTGCTATCTGGTGGCTGCTTGTGTGTGTGGAGGGAGCCCTGGAAGCGCTTCTTTGTGCCTGGTTAAGGGGTTCATGGTTCACAAGTCTGAGACTTCGTCAGCACTGAAGTTCTGTCAGTATAGTTGTGTCACATGGTTGAGTTCTTCATGTGCCCAAATTACTGCCAGCTATGCCAGCAAACCCTGGTGTATCTGCAATGATTGTAACAGAAGCGTGTGTTCACTGGTTCAGTTGGTCACTTTAGAGGTGACTTAGCTATGTCAGCAAGCAAATTCCTTTCACTGGTGTATGCTGCATCCTCAGCTGAAGGCGATGCTGGCATAGGTGTGTTCTGCGATCAGTTTTGTCATGACAAACAGAGGACTACTGGAGGCTACATGCACCTATGCTACGTATGTACCAAATACAAAACAGTTATGTTGAAACTTACAGGGCTCCACTCTTGCCATTGACTAGTGATCAACATACATTCAGCATGATGCGACGTCTTTCATCTTTGTTCTGTCCGATTTGATTCATTTGGACCTTTCAGACCTCACCCTCCTTGCAACTGCAGCAAGAACAAAATAGAACAGAGCTGTAACATACACGTCTGCTCAAGTAGCACTTGTCAGCTTTTATGCTCAACAGGGCTGACTTTATTCCCCCCAGTGGCCCTTGTATGAACCAGAAAGGACAAATACCAACGCCAACAGCGCATGAAGCCCATTTATAAGACCTTATGGTCAATGGCTGATTAATTTAAATTTAAAAAAACCCAAATGCTGGTACAGGTGGCCAGGCAGTTGTGAATATCCAATTAACGTCACAACACCCATTACAATACAAAAGGAGAGACTGGCGTCTGTTTTCTCCAATGCTATAGCATCTTTCCTGTTTTGCTTAAACTGAATGAGATACAGGTAACTGCATTTCATGTTGGAATAATAATGGATGAAGTTTATAAGTGAAAGTAATTAGTCTTGTGTACTTCAAGAGCTTAAAAACAAAACATGTAAATGCATTGCAAATCATGCTGTACTATTTCTTTTATGTCAAGTTAAATGTAATCTTTTAAGGTTCAGAATGAAGCAGCCCCAAGTTTTCTGGTTTTTTTAAGAGAAAAATACAGGCCTTCGTAAAGGAAAATGATTTTAAAATATTCATAGCCCTTGGAAAAGGTCAGGGATGGGGAAAATGGTGCCAACATTTTAATCCGATATATATTAAGACAGATTGGCCTCCATTCAAGAAAGTATTCTAGTCTACAAAATAGAGCTGGATAGCTTTGGAGCTGGATCTTAATTAAAAGAATAGTTAAATTTTGCTCTTACTCTTCAAACTGAAGCAGTTGGCCCAGGCAACTTAATTCCTCTCTGTTCAATTTATTTGTTTATGAGGTGTTAGAATTCTTACTTACTAGATACTCCATTTGTGTTCTTTTTTACTAAATTAACAGTCAGTGTCCAGGCTATCAATCTAGGTGTAAAACCTGTGTGTCTGTTTTAATTCCCAAAGTCATTCTTCCAACCATGTTGTTGGATTCTCTCTTCCTTTTGTTTTTCTTGTCAAAGTGAGGGCTTCATCTAATTTACCAGAGCAGTTGCTCATATATGAATGATATCATGCAGCACTGTATTTGTGTATATACATGCGTGTTGGCGAGAGTATACACTACCTTTGTTAAGATTTTTTTTTAAAAGCTTTATGATATCTACCATGTGACTCTGTAGATACTAAACACAACATGGCATCATTGTGCACAATATATAAGGGCAATAGAAAGTAGTCAAAGGGAGTTTCATGTTCAGCTAGCCCTGTTTTAGTTATTTTTATTTTTCCCTAGATGCGTGCCTATGGACCAGCAGAAATCCAACTGATCCAAAACAATACACAGTCTTTTATGATGATCTGTTCATTGTCATGTTGTAACTAAAATTCTGGACATTTTTTCATTCCTTCCAACTGACACCAATACAAAATTTTTCTAATACTTTGGTGGGAACTAGAAGATTTTAATACTTAACTTCTACATTTATACATCTGTTAATGTCTCTGGAAGAATACTAAGAGAAAGAGCTTGTTACACTCCAGTGGTCTAATTACTAACATTAGCAGCACAATTCTAAAATGTCTATAAATATAGCATTTTTTTCAATTTTTTTCCTTTTCCCTCTGCTTGCCTCACATGCCTTCGTACTTGCTTTTAACTGCATAATCAGATGTAACCAAATCCCTTATCCAGCCACAACACTACTTCAAGAGCAACAATATGTATGATGCAGGCTGAAATCCCAACTGAAATTAATCAGCTTTCTAGAAAAAGTTCCAGTGTTGGATATTGTGGTTGTATGAAAAAGAGTACTGGTGTGATGTTAGCAACTTGCTAAAGTGTTAACTTCTTTCTCCCTGTTCAAACTAGATTGTGTGTGGTATTAATGAGGATACAATGCCCCTGCTGGGTACTTGTAAGAGAAGGGACCTCTAAAGGTCATCTAGTCCAACCCCCCTGCCGTGGGCAGGGACATCTTCAACTAGATCAGGTTGCTCAGAGCCCTGGCCAACCTCACCTTGAATGTTTCCAGGGATGGGGCATCCACCACCTCTCTGGGCAACCTGTGCCAGTGCTTCACCACTCTCAGCGTAAAAAATGTCTTCCTTAGTTACTCTTTAGACAAAAACAGTGTTGTTTGGGTTCCTTTAGGGTTGCTGAATTTCTGGCATTCTATCCGAGTTCCCTCGAAAACAATCCCCAAAAGTGAAGGATTACATGGTTTCAAAATCTAAATCTGGATTCACCCATTCCTGCAATACAAAAGTAATGAGGATAAATCTGAGTGATGTCTGAGAAAACGCAGTTCTCATGGAAAGTGTTTCATAGCACTGAAGTGTGTTTGGGTATCGTTTCTAGTGAGAATACCCCAGTTCTTTTAAGCAGTCATATCTGTAAGTACCAGCAGATACGTATTTCAGCATGTATGTGAGAGGTCCCAGTTCTTAAAAAAAAAACAACTCTGGATTTTTGTGACAGGGTGAAGTCCATCTGCCTCTGTTGGGCTTCACAGTCAACTCCATCTCACAGATTTTGAGTCCCAGCGCTGCCTGCTCACCTCTCCCCTCTCACAGCTGCCTTTAGGTTACACCTCTGCAGAAACCCAAGTAAAAAGCCAACCCGCTGACGAAGGCCGATGGTCAGAACGGTGCCGGACCATAAGACCGCAACTGGGTGATGAAGAGCCATTTGCTCTGGAAATGAAAGCCAGTCTACGGGTGAGGAACGCGCTCTTATGCCTCTTTGCAGAGCACGCCGCTTGCGCATTAGCCCACGGCGGCACGTTAGGAGGCTGCCAGCGCCGTGTCCTGCGCCGGAGCGTGTCGTTGGGACCAGGCCTCAGCAGCGGGTGCGTTGGAAACCCAAAGGCCTCCCATTTCCTGTCACAACACTCACACGACGCGATTTAACAAACCCG